AATTATTAAAAAAAAATTTTTGTTTGTCTTTTTAAACCTATTTTGATTAAACAATTCAGATTTCCTGGCATATATACAGCTGCAGAAAAATAAAAGCCCATGTTGCAATTTTTAAAAAGGCATAATATAAAATAGTTTGACAGCTTACATATTTTGTTATATTTTCTTAAAGATAATACTTTTAACTAACTGGAACAAATATTCAACACCCATTTAATTTTAAACTATTTATTGATAATATTGATGAATAAAGATTAAACATTAAATAAAAATGTTGTGCCCGTCTTTCGGGAATATTAATGATTAATAATGGTTAAAAATTAAATAAAAAGTTGAGATCTACCGTTCTTTGGGAACTGTGTACTTTCTGTGTACTGTCTAAGCGCCAGGATTGAGTCCACCCTCTTGTTCTTGATTTTGGATTGACATTTTTCCTGGACGTACCCAATTAAGGACAATGTCTGCACTTAGCTCGATGGTAGTTCGTCTGGCTCTACTGAGATGATGGGACAGAGTGTTAGCTCGTCCTCCAATGCTTTCATGGCTTCCGCAGCATTTAAAGGTACTCTGAAGGCCTCCTTTTTAAACCGAGGATCCAACATGGTGGCAATCCTTGTGACGGTCCTGTTTCAAATTTGAACAATCGCGCTTCAACCCTTTCCTTCAATAATATACGGACTTGGTCTCCCTCAATGGTTTGCAATTTCGTTGCCTCTTTTTCCAGACTCAAAAACAATCCGCAAGTCACCGGTATTATTAAGGAAATGGTCACCTTTGTGTCGCCAGACACATAATGTGGAGCATCGGCAAAAATGTTGCGCAACTCGCATATGTCACTAAGCAGGTTTATTTCTTCCGCCTTAAGCATCTGCTCTGACCTCAGAGTATTGAGCAGAACTGAAGAAATTTCATGTTTCAGTTACAAAAAGGCGCTGTTCCAGCGTGTGGGCACTTCTTGGATAAGACTATTTGACTGGTCTCCTTGTGCGGTTTTCAATTTGGCATACGCAGTGGCGCTGCTTTTAAAAAAAAGTCACAATTGCTTTGCATTTTAAAAGTGCAGCTTAAAAACTGGAGATGATAGTACATCTTGTACTACAAGATTAAGGGTATGCGCGAAGCATCCCAAATGGCGTGTCTTGAGCGTATTGCATGCATTTACCATTGAAGCCGCGTTGTCCGTCGCTATTGCAACCACTATTTCGAAAATCTTCCATCCATTCTAAAGTTTCTGCAATATTTAGTCCAGTGTGATTGCGCTCGCATAGTGGACAAAACAACTGACTTCAGTTCGAAATCAACTATGAAATGGCTCGTTATTGTCAAATAATTTGTGTTTGCTTTCGTCGATGTCCATCCGTCTGTCGTTATTGAACAGTAATCAATAATACTCAAAATTTCTTGAAGTTTTTGGACCATGCATGTCCTTGATATGTATGTCCCGAATCTGATACCGACTGGGTACTGGGTACCTTGTACTTCGGATCCAACAATTTCAAGAGGCTGACAAAGCCCTCGTCTTTTACGATTAAAAGGGGCTGAACGTCCGTGGCGATCATTTTTGCCACTGCCCGATCGATGTCATGCTTACGCTTTGATGTGGCCTCATACGTCCTCAGAAGATTTGTAACTTGGATGTATCCTCGATAGATGGTCCTTTAAATTGGACGTGCTACCGCTGGTACGATAAGATTTGGTACATAAATTGCACCTAGCAGAAGAACCATCTGGAGCACGTTTGAAGTATTTCCACACCCCGGAAAACAACACTTTTTTTCTTTTGTCGATGGACTTGCCTTGATGTCGTTGTTGTTGTTATCTATTCAAGAAAGAACATGAAAGGATACGTACACCCATTCATTATATTAACTTACCTGCTTTTGTAGTCATAAACTTGTCCATTTTTACTGCGTTTCTTAATTTGTATTCTTGATATTTTAAAACCCACGCTTCTGCAAGTAGATGCAACTTACTACGCGATACATCGATGGTGGAAAAAAACCATCGATGATGACCCGCAGCCAGCCACCATCGATACTATCGCGACTATCGTCGATGGTTTTACAGCTCTACTTCAAATTGAACAAGTGATACCTTGACGGAAAGCCTGGAATGTAAGCATTAGAAACTTGAAGAAACTCCATTACATTTGCATTCCATCTTCTTGTTTTTCATGACTTTAGACAACTACCCATGATATCTGCTGTTCAATGAAATAGTAGTGCTGGGATAAATTTATTTTTAAAAATGAAAAAACAATGCAAATTAACATAAATATGTCACCACCCGTAAGCTCAAGTTGGTTATCAAATAATTTGATGAAAGAAAGTTTTGTACATAGCGGTACTTTTGATTTTGGAGCGTTGAAGAAATCATTGCTCGGTCTAGAAGAGGAGACCTAAGATTTAGACTAAAAACTTTAGGCAGGAGGTATAATGGGATTGAAAATTAAGTTGTATGCACTCTCACTATTGTATTTAACCCAATTCACTATAAGAATTTCTCTGAAAATCAATTTTGTATGCGAAAAACTTATTTTTTAGAGGATGGTCGGCGATGGTCGAAGGCAAGACCATTCCTTCAATATCCTCAAAAATTATGAAAAAAATTTTAATCGCCGTGTCAGTGATGTGACAGTTCGTAGACGGTTGATTCCACATTATTTGAATGCAAGAAGTCCCAGAAAGCTCCGCGTTTGGGTCTGAGAGTACATGGGTGCACGACTTCAGTTTGGAAAAACGCATGTGGAATGGCCTGTGTCACAGTGAAAACGAGAAGGAACGTGTGAGTCGCTTCTGGGGACGCGACTCTACTTATACCCGTACTCAGTCAGTTATACATTTTTGAGCTTATGATTTTTTAGAATTTTGGAAAAAAAAAATTTTACATTTTACATTTTTTTGCTACATCAGCTATCTACATCTACAATGTAAATTTTACATCTAACATGTAGATTATAGATGTACCATTCATATTCTACATCTTCTCCGCTAGGGGTTGCTCGTGCACTGAACGCGGCAGAGTGTGCGAGCGAGAAGGAAAATGAGTTGCGTTGTTGTTTGCCGGAGGGGGAAGGGGAAGCAACTGAAAATGAATTTCTTCATTCTGGCTATAATTATGATCCGATCTGATTCAGATTCGGCAATCTGGTAGATATGGTCATTCTCTACGATACTGCGTAGTTTTATTGTATCTTAAAAATTGTGGATGCCACAGATTTTCGTCCTTTGTGGTGGCGGAAGGGGCGGGGCGAAATTTTGAAAAACCAAATTTGGTTCCTCTAGCTTTTATAGTCTCTGAGATCCAGGCATCAAAAAAGACGGACAGACAGACATGGCTATATCGACTCGGCTTTTAATGCTGATCAAGAATATATATACTTTATGGGGTCGGAAAATTTTCCTTCTCTGCGTTACACACATCCACTTTTACCACAAATCTAATATACTCCTTAACTCTTTTTTGAGTACGGGTATAAAAATACTTTTTACTGATGATAGTAAAGTTGTATTATTTGGTAAAATAGACCCAAAAGAATATGTTTGGCATTCACAGAAATCCGATTACCACCTAAAATCATGAAAAATATAGCATTGGGCATGCTAGGCTGAGCCTTATGGGGCCCAGCTCATATGAGCTAGTACTTTCTAGCCTGGCGTTTGAGTATAGTATGGTTTTGAGCAAAACTTTGAATGTAGGCATACTTTAGAATACATTACATTCATATTACAGTTGAAAAATTCATGTTAAAAGGATCTTTTAACAGGATGAGTTAAAATACCCAGAAAAGCTCGCTAGGAATTAATTGTTATCGGAAAAGATCGACGTTTTGCCATGGCCAACTGTTAAACCGGATATTAATCTCATCGAAATCTTATGGGAGAATACCAAATACATTGTTGACACCGCAAATCCGTGAACCAGAGCCAAGTTTTAGCAAGTGGTTCATGGATTATTGGCTCAAATCCTATTGAAGCGTTGGCAAGAGATTAATGACCCATATCCGGCCGGTGCAAGTTCGCAATGAAAACCAAATTGATTAAAAACTAAATATTAAAGCTCAAGAAACATGAAGAATATGAAATATATGTTTTTATTTGAGATTCGTTGTTGTTTTCAATGTTCTAAAAAAACACTACTATTTCATTGAACAGCAAAGTTCATGTGTATTCGGCTTATGTCATGTAAAAAAAGAAAATGGAATTCAAATGTATTGATATTTCTTCGGTTTTCTAATAGTAACATTCCTGTCTATTTAAAAAGGTATCACTTGTTCAATTTGAAGGACTAGAAATATCTCAAAAAGAGTTTTGAAAGTAGTGAGGTGCGGCATTACTAGCAGAGTCGATATAGCCATGTATGTCTGTCCGTCTATCTGTCTGTCTGTCTCGATGAGCGCCTAGATCTCAGAGACTATAAGAGCTACGGCAACCAAATTTGGTTTCCAGACTCATGTGATATCACACTGCTACCAGTGTATTTCGCCCCGCCCCCTTCCGCCTCCACAAAGGACGAAAATCTCTGGCAGGCACAATTTTAAAGATACGCTAAAACTAAAAACACAGTATCGTAGAGAATGACCATGTCTACCAGATTGCCGAATTTGAATCGGATCGGATCATAATTATAGCCAGAATGAAGAAAACTTAATATCTTCCAGGCGTTAAGCTGCAGCTTCAAAATGTCTAGGTCGGATTCATAGCCGTTGTCAGCTTGTCAGAACTGCAAAGTTCTATGCAACCAGATATAAGATACTTAAGTTGTATAAAAAATAGAAGCACTACCTCTGAAAAAAAACATGAAAAAATACCTGATTTTAAAAATTCTTTAAAAAAATTAAACCATAAAAAAAAGTACTACAAAAATTTGTAAGTCCTGAAATTTATCATAAAAAGTCATTTTGGTCCACAGCGGAAAGAAAAAGTTCAATTTTGTTGAGTAGTGTAATGCTTTAAATATTTCGACACAATTATAATATTTAATTATCGTTTTTATTTCAGAGAAATTTCTTTACTTAAAGAACTAAAACATTCAAATATCGTCTGTTTGGAAGATGTATTAATGGAGGAAAACCGCATTTATTTGATATTTGAATTTTTATCAATGGATCTTAAGAAATATATGGACTCGTTACCGCCAGAGAAACTTATGGACAGCAAACTTGTGCGAAGCTATTTGTTTCAAATAACAAGCGCTATTTTATTCTGCCATCGTCGAAGAGTATTGCATCGGGATTTGAAACCTCAAAATTTACTGATTGACAAAAATGGTATAATTAAAGTAGCCGACTTTGGGCTGGGAAGATCTTTTGGCATTCCAGTACGCATATACACTCATGAAATTGTTACTCTGTGGTACAGAGCACCTGAGGTATTACTGGGCTCTCCCCGATATTCATGTCCCGTCGACATATGGTCAATTGGATGCATTTTTGCCGAAATGGCAACGCGAAAACCGCTTTTCCAAGGTGACTCTGAAATCGATCAATTATTTAGAATGTTTAGGTAAATATACTTATTAAGTTTTACTTATTTTGCTCAACTCTTTTATCGTTCGGAATGTTTCATTTAACCTTTACTTGCACTGAGGTGGTGCGCTGAAATGTAGTCATTTCTAGCTTGAAAATTTACAGCTAACTGTAATCAAAGGACCGATTTTAAATTTTTTGAATACATTTTTTTTTATTTGTATTATAAATGAAACAAAAGAATAATTATAATTAAAAGAAACCATCTTCACTAAGAGTTTTTAGCAAAGACCGTAAGACTCATAATTTTTATAATAAAAATTATGAAATAAGAATTAATTTTTGATTTTTATTATAAAAATTTTTTGCGTTTTCAAACCGGCAACAAAATCCTCGTCGAAATGAAAAGTAAGCAGCTTTTTATACCCGTACTTGAAGAGTTAAGGTGTATATTAGATTTTTGGTAAAAGCGGATGTGTGCAACGCAGAGAAGGAATCGTTTCTGACCCCATAAAGTATATATATTCTTGATCAGCATCAATAGCCGAGTCGATATAGCCATGTCTGTCTGTCCGTCCGTCCGTCCATCTTGATGAGCGCCTAGTTCTCAGAGACTATAAGAGCTAGAGCAACCAAGTTTTGTTTCCAGATATCACACTGCTATTTCAAAATTACGTCCAGCCCCCTGCCGCCGACGAAAATTCTTGGCAGCCACAATTTTAAAGGTACGAGTAAATTAAAACGCAGTATCGTAGAGAATGAAGATTGCCGAATCTGGATCAGATCAGAAAATTATTATAGCCAGAATAAAGAAATTAATTTTCAGTTTCATTCATTTTCGATGTGCAATCGACATTGTAGAGGTAAATAAAAGATGTTGGAAAAAAATGTTAATTGTAAAATATTTTAAAACTCTACATAAATCACGGGTACGGGTATAAAAGTAGATTCGCGTTCACAGACGCGACTCACACGTTCCCTCTCGTTATGTATCAAAACGAATCTTAATATAAAAAAAAAAAAATAGATGGCTGATTGATGCATTAACATAAATTTGACGCAAGTGCCAATGCAATTGAGCTTGTGCTCTTTTTATAAATACTTTTTTAACCAACCTCATATTTAGAACTGGAAAAATTGTTCAGCGCCACAACAAATAGTGGATTCATCCGAATAGCTGTGGCAGCCCGATTTGGGTATCGATAAATCTCTGTTAAACATAACAGAGGACTTTTTGTATGAGCTGGCACTAACTCGTGGGTTTGGCTAAAAACGTTAAGCATAAAAGTAAGTGAAAACGGGAGCCTGCCTGAATATATACACTTTGCCACGGTTGTAACTTTTTAGAATCAGAATTTTTTGTACATTTTTTGGCCCTTAGCTTTTATCACACTCTGAATACGTTAGGGCATACTCTCGAATTAGCTTAGTCGCATAGCTCATCCAACCCCTTTCGGTGCAGACTCATACCAGAGAACGGCATCGGGTGATTGCAAATATGTTTACACATAAAAATTACCAGAGTAAACACACACGCATGCGCACATATTCGCAGATGACTTTAAATCACTCAAGCTGTGCCTTCTTTTATTCTGGCTGAGTTTATTCATGCTCGTTCGTCTTTCGGGTGTTTGTTACTTGGGCTCAGCAATGATTTTATTGATTACACTACTCGACAAAATCGACCTTTTTTTCCTCAAGGATCCAAACCGACATTTTCTGATAGATATGGGGCTTTAAATTTTTTTAAAGAATTATGGTTTTTTTTCGGCAGAACTTTTTTTTGAAGAATTTTTGAAGTCTGGTATTTTTTTTAAAGCTTTTTTCAGAGGTAGCACTTGTTTTTTTCACATAACTCTAGTATCTTACGTCTGGTTGTAAAGAACCTTGCTATTCTGAAAAGATAATTAAAACAGCTAGAAGTCGCTCATTAAAATCTATGGAGAGACTTTGGAGCTAAAATTCGTTAACCAAACCTAAAATATGGAAAAAATGAACAAAAAATACCTTTTGGAAGGTTGCGAGCCCAACTGCTTATTGGGAACACAGGAACGCGATCAGGTACCAAATGTACAAACCTTTTTCGTTTGCTTTGTTACCAATTGGCAGTTGGGCCCGCAACCCAATCAAACCATTTCTAAGCCCCAAATCTTTAAGAAAAAGTTGGTTTTGTTCCTTGAGGAAAAATCGTGTCGAGTAGTGTTATGAGCAAAGCAATTTTGAAAGGGAACAACTGAACATGTAAATGAGCAGTGAACAAATGAACAAGTGAGTGAACAACTAAACAAGTAAACAACTGAGTGAACAAGTGAGCAACTGAGCAAAGTGAGTAAGTTGTTTACTCACTTAAAAGTGAGCAACTGAACTTGTTCACTAAAGTGAACACTCTTTACTCAACTCTAGTCCCGTCACTTCATGAAGTGAAGCGGAATCAAAATCAAAATTAATTAATTATATTGAAAGCATTGTTTTTTTTTTTTAAATTAAGCATTAAAAAAAACTCATTGCAGTAAAACTTCTTTTATGTCAAACGTGTGCATACTATTTGTGTAAATTGGGAAATATTTTTAGTTTTATCAGGTGGCATCGCTTTAAAATGACAAAACAGAACTAACAAACTATTTTTACACATTATTGCCATTGATTTATGTCAAAACCCCCTGTTCGGCTAAGTGCAATTGTAATGGTAATTGTAATGAACTAAATTAGTAGTAGTTTGAGAAAACAATCACTAAAACCACATACGTATCGTCTGAACGCGAAAACGAGTCCTATGCGCTTCTGAGAAGCCTGCACTGCAAGGTTTATATTCTAATATGTTGCCTCCGTAGTTCTTCGATGGCCAACAGTCTCGGTAAAAGCATTTTAATTAAGTTTACCGTAAAATTCAGATGTCTCTTTTTTTGAACAGCTGATTGCTTCCATGCACGGAGAGTTGCCAAACAACTGCTATGGGATACGATATGGGATGTTTTTTTGCTTTGAAATTATAAAAGTACAGCTTTGAAAAATCAATTATTTTATATCATAAAAGAAAAAAAGAAAAACCAATTGTTTTGATATGATAAAATCAATAAAAATGCAAAATGAACCCTGTTCTCTTAAGGTTCCACCGGGGGGGGCCCGGGGCCTTTTTTTGGCCCCCCCCCCCCCCCCCCCCAAAATTTTTTTTCCCCCCCCCCCCCCCCCCCCCCCCCCCCCCCCCCCCCCCCCCCCCCCCCCCCCCCCCCCCCAAACCGTCCTCTATCATTGAAAATTTTCTTGAAAGAAACGCTCACTCGTTGCTGAGCTAGCCGGAATGCCTTATTTTTTTTTTTACCCAATTTTTTTTTTATTTTTTTTTTTTTTTTTTTTTTTTAAATTTTTTTTTTTTTTTCCCTCCCTTTTTTTTTTTTTTTTTTTTTTCCCAACAAAAAAAAAAACAGTGGGGCCCCCCCCACTTTCCCCCAACCCACCCCCCCCCCCCCCCCCAAAAAAAAAAACCAACCCCCCCCCTTCTTTTTTTTTTACCCCTAACCACCCCCCCCCCCCCTCTTTTTTTTTCCTTTTTTCCTTTCCTCTTTTTCCTCTCCCCCTTTTTTCCTCCCCCTCCCCCCCCCCCCCCCCCCCCCCCCCCCCCCCCCCCCCCCCCCCCCCCCCCCCCCCCCCCCCCCCCCCCCCCCCCCCCCCCCCCCCCCCCCCCCCCCCCCCCCCCCCCCCCCCCCCCCCCGTGTCAACCCTAGCCTTAGTTCGAATTTAGTTTGTGACAATGCTAAGAAAAGTAAATTCGCTTCGAATTCTGTGGCACGGCGGAAATTTTTAAGCGGAAGTCCTCTGCGCGGTTTTCCATTTCACTAGTGATTTCTGTGGCACCCCTGTACATCTAACATGAAGATTCTAAATGTACTATTTAGATTCTACATCTCCTCCGCTAGAGGGTTCTCGCGTACATAACGAGGCAGAGTGTGCGAGCGAGAAAAAGAATGAGTAACGGGCCTTTTGCTGGAGGAGGCGGGGGAATCAACTGAAAATTTTGAAATTTTGAAATACTTTTGTAGCAGTGTGATATCAGATGAGCCTGAAAACCAAATTTGGTTGCCCTAGCTCTTATAGTCTCTGAAATCTAGGCGCTCAAAAAGACAGACAGACAGACAGACGGACAGACAGACATGGCTATATCGACTCGGCTTTTGATGCTGATCAAGAATATATATACTTTATCGGGTCGGGTTATATTAGATTTGTGCAAACGCAGTATCGTAGAGAATGATCATATCTACCAGATTGCCGAATCTGAATCAGATCGGATCATAATTATAGCCAGAATGAAGAAATTAATTTTCAGTTGCTTCCCCCGTCTACTTCAGCCAGAAAGCTACTCATTCTCTTTGTCGTTCGCATACTCTACCGCGTTCAGTGCGCGAGCAACACCTAGCGGAGGAGATGTAGAATCTAAATGGTACATGTATAATCTACATGTTAGATGTATAATATACATTGTAGATGTAGATAACAGATGTAGCAAAAATATGTAATATGTAAAATTTTTTTTTTTTAATTATAAAATTCTAGAAAATCATAAGCTCAAAAATGTATATTGCCCGGGTTTTCCGCAGTTATTAGAATGATCCAGGACGACAGTGTTTATTATATATAATGTTTTATTTGTATTATTATTAGATATTTGCTCTGGTTACAATGGGTGTATATTTTAAACGAGGTTATAATATTGGATATAATAGAATGCTGCGCTTTTGCTCCTTGCATGTTTTCGAGAGAAACTTTGGCACCGAACTGTCTGGCGTCGATCGTTGAACTCTTGTTCTCTTTATTCTTTCGACTGCCGCTTCTGGTCTCTCTATCTGTTACGGGCGCTAATAGCTTAACAGACTCTGCTGCTCTCTGGGACTTCTCATCCCACATTCGGCCCTCCTGACGTTAAGTTCGACACGAACTCCTTCATAAATTCCGCAACTGTAGAGGTCTTAAAAGGACCTTCTCCTACTTTCTCTACATCATACCGGCCATGCTTGCTAATCTTGACCACCTTATAGGGCC